TTTTTCTTTTTTTTTTCTTTTTTTCTTATTCGCGAGCCTGCGTTTGTGTGCTTGTGTTTTCGGTGGTTTTTAGTGCTGTCGCGTGATGGGTTTTGAACTGCCGGAGATTTTTGTCAACGCGCCCTTCACGTGGGGGCCGCCGCCGAGTGAGATTGAGATGGACGGCATGAAGGTGCGGCTTTACCAGAAGACCGACGCGATCGCCCCAAGCGACTGGCTGGAGGCGATGTTGGACCAGGCGAATGAGACGAAGCAGTTCACCACCGTCAAGGACGAGAACCGTCTCAAGGCGCTGCGCAACCTGCACGCGAAGGAGCGCCGCCACGGCCCGGAGCGGCGGTTTGTCAAGCACTACCAAAACGCCCGCAGCCACTTTGCCAACAAAGCCAAACGGAACCTCACGCTCCTGCCTGACACGGTGAAAGTGCCGACGGACGTTCTTATTTTTGCCGAGTTCACACAAGCGGAGTTGGCCAAGATGCAAAACCTTCAGGACGCCCCGACGGTGACCGACATCTCCCTTCATAACCGTCCCTTGGTCTATAACAATGCCATGGAGAAGGCAAGCTGCAAGACTCCCATTCGACTCGAAGAAACTAATAAAAGCGAAGAATTTTTTGCGCGCTCGACCACCGTGGAAGACGGAACACTCCGCGATATTCTCAAGAAGGAAGCGGCTGGAACGCATCCCATTGTTGTGACAACCGATGAGGTTCTTGCTCTCATGATGACGTGTAGTCGTGGTCTACACCCATGGCATCTTGAGATTTTTCGTTACAACCGCATGGTATTTATCTCGAAAACAGAGAAGAGCAATGTCGAGGTGCAGTGGGTTGGAGAAACAGCCGATACTTTGCGTCGTCCCGTTGAAAACGACCCCAACGAATCGGAGCGCATCACTAATCTTGCGAAGGAGTCCACAAAAGCATTTAACGCTTTTGTGGCACAGGCATGCTTGAAAACGCGGTACCAAATGAAGTGTGAAAAAAACCCCTTTCCTGATACTCAACCTCGTTTATACCGCTACCGACGATTTGTTATGCACGCTGAAACGGATGATCACTACGACATAATTGTTCGATGCGAAATTGATGCGGTGCAAAACGACAAATATGTTCGCATCTTTGGTCTTTTGGAGCAGTGTGCGGATGGGGTTGAAAGTGAGTGGCGTAAGACGTTAGACTCCCAGGGAGCCAAGTGGATTTCTGACGAATACCGCAGAAACGCTCAGAAAATGTCCCGTTGGGTTTGTCTCTGTCATTTGTCAGGGACATTGATGAAGATTGGCTTCTTGTCGCGCTCTTACAGGAGCAACGGGACGTTGGACCCGAATAAGCACGAGGTTTTGGCCACGCACACGAAGGACCCCGGTCCACTTGCCGCCCAGCTGGGCATCAAGGTAGGGAACATGTGGGCCATTGCGGACGCCATCATCATGGCATTCCTGAAGCAGCAGGATCTCAGCGAGGCCCTTCTCGTGAAGAAGAGTGGTGGCCAATCTATTATGCTCATTGAGAAGATGGAAGACGAGGAAGAGGAAGACGATGATGACGATGACGATGATGACGGCGGTAGCAGCGACGGGGATGTGTAATAACGGCGCCACGGCGACAGGAATGGTGGACAGAGAGAAGTAAGGGAAGAAAAAAAAAGAAAAGAAAAAAAGAACTTCAGGGAGAAGGACCTGAAGAACATTGGGAAAAAGGGAAGAAGGACGATTTGGCGATTTAAAATACACGAGGCCTTAATAATTTTAAAAAGAAACGAAGTAGAAATTTTCAAGAAAAAAAAAAAAAACTGAAAATAAATGGTGTGATTTTGCCTCATTCTCTTGTTATGTTTCTCATGGCTTTTGCCTGAGTTCTTTAAAACGGCTCCTCATGCCATGCCGACTTTTTTTTTTTTTTTTTTTTTTTTTTGCAGGGAAATTTGTTGTTATTAGTATTAGTAATAATAGTAATAATAATAATATTGCTGCCACGTATACCCATAAGTTAATTGAAGGAATATGAATAGGGAGGCATTGACGAAAAATGAAAAGATTACCTACTCTCTTGGTTTTGTGGGGCTATTGATCTTTACAGGCATCACCGCGGGTCTTCAGGTAGCGTTGTTTTCTATGGACCGCCTGTTTCTTCGAATCCTCACAACAACGGGATCACTACGGGAACGACGGCAGGCCAAACGTCTGTTGGGTATCCTGCGACTCGGTCACTGGACGCTGGTGGCCTTGCTTTTATCGAATGCATCGGCGATGACGGGTCTGCCTATTCTCCTTGAGGATATTTTTGATCAACTGACAGCACTTCTTGTGTCGCTCACCGCCGTTCTTTTTATTAGCGATATTATTCCTCTCTCTATTTTTGTCCGCTGGTCGTTTCCGATTTGTTCATTCTTTGTTCCATTAGTCTGGGTACTGTTGGTCGTGACTGCCCCGGTGAGTTATCCGGTAGGAAAGCTTCTGGACCGCCTACTGGGGAAAAGGAAGATCTTCTCCGCAGCGACGAGTTGGTGGCTTTGTTTTTAGCCCAACAGAAGGAGAGGGCGTTTCTTCGGGAGTCGGAAGTCAACATGCTCACAGGAGCCTTGCGGCTCTCAAGTCACCGTGTGCAGGATTTCATTGTGACGACATGCGACAAGGCGTTTATGCTCTCATCACGAACGCGGCTGGATAAAAAAACGGTGGAGACGATTCTTCTTGCTGGGTACAGCCGAATTCCTGTGTACCTGAACGACAACCGACGGCACATTCTCGGCACCCTCATTGTGCAGTCACTGGTCATTTTGTGCTTTACTAATCCGAATAAACCTCCACGAGCAGGGGAGTACCCCCTTTTAGAGACGCTGCGTCTGCCCGCGAGCACCACGCTGTATAACTCGTACCTTGCTTTTCAGAAAAATTCATCAAATATGGCTGTGGTGTACGACAATTGTGGGGTGATGGTGGGACTGTGGACCCTCACCGATCTGCTCTGTACGCTTTACAACACCAGTCCAGCGCACGAAGGAAGCAACACACATAGACAGGAGCTTATGGTCACCCTACTGGAAAGTATGAAGGCGATGAATGCTGCAAGGCGCAAGGCGCAGGGAAATGTCAATTCTGCGATTGAATCCGAGGAATTTTTTGTCGGTGGGCGTAAAAAATAAACGCGCGATCAAATATTCCTTTCCGTCTGATTTTCGCTGCCACGAGAAATTATATGTCTTTTTAATATGTCGATTACTTGTTGTTTTTGTTGTTGTTGTCGTTTTTGCTGCTTTGCGTGTTTTTTTTTTTTTTTTTTCCACGTCCCTCTCTTGATGCTTGTCACTTATGGGTTTGAGTAGGAGGGCAGGGGTGTGTGCGTATTTAGATAATTGCACCGATGTGGGTTTTTACAGTTTTTTTCTTTTTTTTCTTAGTTTTGGCTACGGCCAATCTGCTGATTACGTGACGCAGACAAATGCCATGCACATTCATATATACATATACATTTACAAGTGTTTGTACTGACACGTCGTGAGAGACGACGAGAGGGGTAGTGTTCGCCTTCTCAGGCCAATGATGTTGGAGTGGTTATGTGGGTTGAGCGGACGTCTTGAATAATCAAAAAGGCCCGCGTTGCGGATTATTTTTTTTTTTTTTATTATTGCCTTTTTTTGTTTGCTTGTTTGTTTGTGTGCGAGTGTGTTTGTGTTCTTTGGAAATTATCCCCCCTTTTTTTTTAGCCTTTGTGTGTTCTGGTTGCACACAAGTGTTGCCCTACCCAGCAGGGATATATATATTAGAAGGGAAGGAGTCGGCAGGACGACACCGAGGCATACGGCTCAACAAGGATGCAGGAAAATAATATTCACATGTCGTACCCAAACTACGTGATTGTGCATCGCGGGAGCCAGATGGTGTTCGTCGCCCTTCCAGCGGAGGCGAAGTGGATAGAAGCCCGTCTCACCTACGCTGCGCTCATGAATTTGGATCCACAGCGAACGATGCTCACGCCTCACTTTGCCTCAATGGATAAAGGCACTCCTCCTCTGTGTCCAGATGATTCACTTATTGAGTGGCCCGCCTCTGAGGCTCTTCATACAGTTGCAGTTGAGGCGTCGCCGGACGGCACATGGACCGCATTGACGAGCAACTTGCGACCACTCGAGTCGCGAAGCTTTGAGCTGGAGAAAATTCCACAGGCCGTTTCGAAATATTTGACTGAAGTTCAACAAGACGTGCATCCAAATGCATAATTGCGGATAAGAAGCTGTGTCTGCACAGGATGGTGTGGTGCATGGCTGTTGTTTTTTCCACAACACTGTGTACAGCTTTGCCTCTTTCTTTTCTTTTTTGGTGTGCGCATGTATTTTGGTATATCGATTGAAGAAGAGAAAGAGAAGAGGGGTGAGAGTTATGTGCCTCATTTAGGTTTTTCCTCATACCTCTTTTTCTTCGTAAGAGTTCTTTTTTTTTCTTTTTTTTTTTTGCTATGATTGAGGGTGACAACGTGCAAAGAGAAAGAGAAAAACAGACTACATAAAGCGCCTCATTGGATATGTGGATGTTGTTGAGGACAGTGATGCAAGTTATCTAGTGCTCATCATTTGGTTACGTTTTCTCCTTCCATTATTGTTGCTTTTTTATTTCTCCCTCTTTTTCCCATTCTGACGCTCCTCTCCACATTGCTGTGATCATTCCTTATCATTTGTGTTTGACACATTAGTGAGGTAATTGGCTGCTTTGAGAATGGCATCCTCCTCTGCTGCATCCAAGTATGTTGTTCCTGAGCTCACTCAGGATGACGTTCCTGGTGGCGCCTGCTGCGTGGATGAAACGACCTTCGCCACGCAATTCCCCAGCTATCTGGAGAGTTACATCCGCAGTGTGTGGCCAGCTGTGGAGACGGTCTTGGGGCAGCACCAACTGGTCGGCAAGCTGGATTTGATGGAAGGCTCCATGACGGTAGCAACAACGCGGAGAACTTGGGACCCCTACATCATCGTGAAGGCCCGAGACTTCATTCGACTGCTAGCCCGAAACGTTCCGCTGGCGCAGGCGCAAAAAATTTTTCAAACGGAAATTACATGTGATATTATTCCCATTTCCATGAAGGGCAACAGCACGCGTCGCTTTATTAAGCGACGGGATCGACTAGTCGGCCCCAAGGCGCAGACACTCAAGGCGTTAGAGATTCTTACGGGTTGTTATGTTCTTGTGCAGGGCAAAACTGTGGCGGTGATGGGACCAGTGAAGGGGTGCCAGCAGGTGCGAAAGATCGTTGATGACTGCATGAACAATATTCATCCCATTTACGGTCTGAAGCAACTGCTTATCAAACGAGAGCTTGCGAAGCGTGAGGATTTGCGACATGAAGACTGGAGTCGGTTTATTCCCGTCTACAAGAAGAGTGTGCAGAATAAGGAGAAGGCGAAGGCGGTGCGAAAGGTCAAGAAGGAACGCCTCAGGGTCTCTCTGAAGAAGCAGGCGGGGAAGGAGAAGTCCATCTTTCCGCCCGCCCCGCCAAAGCGTAAGGAGGATCTCGCGATGGAGAGCGGCAAGGCCTTCCTTTTGCGGCCGCGGCAGCGCAGGCAACAGCCGAAACGCGATGACTACCAGATTGAATAGAGCGCTTGTTTTTTTTTTTTTTTTTTTTTTTTTCACCTTTTTTTTTACCACGTTTAAACCAAAAAACAACATCACGTATTACTTGTGCATAAACGTGCACGCGTATCATGATTTGTGGATGGGGAGATGACATAACTTTTAATAACGTAAAAAAAGAAAAAGAAAAAATTTGGCAGAGCCTCTTTCTGATGGAACTATTCTTTTCTCTTCTTGTTTCTATTGGATTGGATAGCGGCAGGGATGCCAACAATTTCCGAACGACGGAACCTCCTTAATTTTCTCGGCTATCGCTTGAGTGTGGAGCTGGACGACGGCTCAACGCTCATTGGCCGCCTTGTCTCTTTGGGGCCAACATCAAACTTAATACTGACCGATGTTGAACGTGTTAGACCACTGAAGCGGCGGCGCGGCAGCTCGAAGACTGAGTGCTACAACTCTGTTTTATTTGTCCGTGGGAGCAGCGTTGTGTCGGTGCATCACACAAACAATATCACGACGGACCGTAGTGTTGTGGACACGCTCACGGATCGACAGATGGAAACGTCCAAAGCCATTCAGATGGCCAGTCAGAGCCTTAACGTGCCCTTACGGTAAGGATTTATGGTGCGCAAAGGAGAAATAATGTGTGCATTTGTTTGCATCTCCGCGTGCTTTTACCGGCGGTTTATTTGCTGTTGATGCATCGGCAAAAGGATAAAAGTGGGCAGTGCATTGAATGAAGGCGATATATCCACGTATTTGTACCAAGGGGGTGCATTTTTGGTGCTCTGAATGCAGTCATTACTATTGTGGTGAGCCTTGAGGCCGTGGCGGGCAAAAAAATTGGGCGTCGCTTCTTTTTTTTTTTTTTTGTCTGTGTTTGTTTGACTGTGTGCCTCTTGAATGGCTAATTTTTTTTGTTTTCTTCTGTTCCGTTTGACTTCTCCTTCTTTCTCCCAACAGGGTGTTTGGTCGCTCCATGAGTACAGTGCGGTCTAGGGCGACGTCCCGATCGCGACTTCAGCGGCCTGTGATGCCAGCAAGGAAGGCATCCGCTGCACCGTCGTCGTTGATTCGTTGGCACATTGGTGAAAATGGCCGTATTTCTAACTTTGACATGAAAGTACTGCGAAGAGACATTTTTTGGCGGCTTGAAAACGGCCCCCTTTACACGCTGGAGGAATGCCGTACGTTTCTTCTGGAGCTCTCACGCGTGGCGGCTGCGTGGCAGGAGGAAGAGTTTCCGCAGTTGATGTATCTTGTGGATATGCACGAGCGGTTGATGCCTGGTGTATCACTTTCTTTTCAGTGGCCCACAGGCAATGCGGAACTCTTGCCGCTGGCGGACATTTCTGGCGTGGAGGGTAGTTTGCCGATGTTAACGAAAGTTGTGGAGGAAATGAACCGCGCCGTTGCACGGATGATTGATCGTTTGTGGGACTCTCGCAGAGAGCGTCTGATTTTTGCCGCCCGTCTGCTGCAAGATATCGAACCGCTGTTGCAGGAGTTGAGCGGTGGCGCTTCGTCAGCGTAGAGAAGTAAATACAAATCGACCTTCATGCCGAGTTGGAAGTTGTTGTTTCTTTACATTTTACCTTTTGGGCGATTTTTCACCCCTTTTTTTTTCAGGTTTATTTTACTTGTCGTTGTTTCCCTTTTATTATTTATTTATTCACTTTTTCTTTTCTTCTTTACGGTGTAAGGGGGCGACATGATTCTGCACAGGGGGGAGGGTGTCCCTCCGTCTGGAGTACACAGTCTCTGTTACCTGCGATATCGGCCTCCGTTGTCCACGGAGGAGAGGCTGGAGGAGGCGAATCGCCACATTGAGAAGAATCCCACCGATGTGCAGGCTTTACTGCGGCGCGCAAAGTTGTTTGTGCGTTTGGAGGACCACCAGGCAGCTCAATTGGACCTTTCCGTCATTATTGACTTACCGCGTGGGAAAAGTCAGTCGTCGGAACTTGTCTGTGCCTTTTTTCTTCGAGGTGTTTGTCACGTGAAACTGTCGTGGATCGACAAGGCCATCGCGGATTTTACAGCCGCACTTGACATCGACCCTTCCCACAGTCGATCCACGTATGAGCGTGCCGCATGCCATAACCGGAAAGGGAACTATACCGCAGCCATCTTAGACTACGAGAGGGCCCTTCAGCATGACTCAATGCACGTAAGCTATTTTTCAGCGTGTCATCGAAACGCCCGAAGCCGATTCGCAAAGACGCGTCCTCATCAACGTCTCTCTTTGCGATCTTTTGGGGCGATCGAGCCCTCTCGACGGGATGCTTCGTCTCTTCTAAATGTTGACGGTGTCTACAGAAATGGAGACAATGGAAAAAGACCACCACCCGCACCCCCGCATAACATGTATGTGAAAACGTCAGGTTTAATGGCAGAGACGTCAAGACTGAGCCATTCTGCTGGAACGCCGATTGGTAGTCCCGAGCGACATCAAATTGTGCCGGCGGTAACATCGTCTTCCGCGTTAAGTGGTAATGAGGAGGCAGAGCTACACCAACAGCGTGGGCTGGCATATAGAAAAAAAGGTGATTATTTGCGTGCCATTGATGAGTACTCTGCGGCCCTTAGACTTGATCCTAAAAATTTCAAGGCTCTGTTTAATAGAGGTTTTTGCAACGACAAGGTTGAGGACTACAACGCGGCAATCCGTGACTATGAGGCTGCCATGAAGTTGGAGCCGGGGTACGCCTACACCTATTACAATCTCGGCATATCGTACGATCGTTGGGGCGGTCATTACAAAGAAGCCATTGCCATGTTCGACAAGGCCATTGCATTAGATGGCAACAATGCTGATTTTTACCACAACCGCGGCTTTAGTCAGCGCAAACTAGGTAAATATCGCGAGGCCGTGAAGGATTATACCATGGCATTGTCTCTGGATCCGCAGCACTTCAAAGCCTACTACAACCGAGCCTTTTGTTACGATAAGTTAGGGGAAGGTGCAAACGCCATTGCAGACTACACGAAGGCCATTGCTATTCAAGATGATAATCCCAATGCCTACCATAATAGAGGTGCCGCTATGGAAAAGGCCGGTCGTCTTGACGATGCGATTGCAGACTACACGCGAGCCATTCAGCTGGACGACGGAAATCCCTTCACATACAATGCCCGCGGTATTGCTTATGACCGTCGTGGTAAGAGTGATGCAGCTTTACAAGATTTGACACAAGCCATTGCACTGTCACCCAACAATCCCATATTTTATCAGAACAGAGCCTTTGTTTTTCAAAATATGGAGCGCTTTCCAGAGGCGGTGCGTGACTACAACATCTCCTTGGCACTATTAGACGAAGAGAAGAGGTTTGCCAATGGAGCTACTAGTGAAGGCAAAGCCACCCAGGAGTTGAATCTGTTGATTCTAAAACAATACTTCAATCGGGGTTTTTGCTATGCACGTGAGGGCCATTATGAAGCGGCTATTTGTGATTTTTCAACGGTTATGGCGACAAACCCCGATAACCTTGTAGCATTGTACAATCGCGGCATTTGCCATGATAAGGTGGGGAATTACAAACTTGCAGTGGAGGATTTTTCACATTTAATTGAGTTGGACGCGGAGAATGCGGAGGCGCACTTCAGCCGTGGTACGGCACTGGAAAGTCTGGGGGAATATGCCATGGCGTTGGATGACTACGCAGTCGCATTCAAGCTGGACGTGGATCGCAGTGACCTGGTTGACGAAGGCGACTTGGCAAAATTCAAGTCAGAGCATCACGCCATGGTGGCTTCTCAGCGAGTCCTGCGGCTCCTAAAGGAAAAGAAAAAGGGTTCTGCAGCTGCGCGAAGAGCATCTTAACTGACTTGAGGATATGAATTCCAAGGTGGATGTCCGCGTTAACGTAATGCAGTGGACCCGCCGTTATATATATATTGTGGGGAGAGGGGGATTATTTGTATGTTGGTTATATCGATGCAAGCCCTTTTTGCCGTTGTTGTTTTTGTTGTTGCTTTTCTGGGGATTGTGGTTGGTTGGAAAGTTACATGAACATGGGTAAGTTCTCTTCTCTTTTACTCATTGTTGTGCGTGTTGTGATTAGAGGTTTTTTATGTCGGAGGAAAATGGAAACGTCTTGGAAGCGTTTAAAAAAGAGCACTGCGCCCTGCTTGCGCTTCTGGCACATGCGGCGAGACAAGCTGTGGATACAAGGACTGGAGAGTCTGTGTTCGAAGACCTCTGTTCCGCGGAGCCCTCGCTAAAAGACATTTACCCTGAGGTGAATTTACTGTACAACATTCATCAAGTACGTCGTGCTCTCCGCGATCGACAAGAGCGCTCATCAGAGTCTGTGACACCTTTATGCGACGCGGTTAGCGCTGCATTAAGGAATTTGTATGGCGCCCTTCCTGACCCGTTGTTTCTCGTCGTTGCCGAGGCGGAGGGAATACTGCGGAAACGACACTCCTCATCTCGTGCTCTAGAACCGTACATTCTAGACCTGGTGGAAAGCATTCAGTTGGTGCTGTTGCAGGAGACAAACTCATTGCAGCGTCGTGGGGCCTCAATAACTTTGCGGCTGAGAGATGTGCCGCCGTTTGTTTTGTGATTCACAATTTGTTGCCCACAAGAGATTCCGGCTGTGAATTTGGGAAACGTGCGCTTTTGCAAGAACCAAATGCTTGGGTGTTGCTTTATGGGTGGGGGGACTCGGAGCGAGAGAGGAGCGGTGCGAAACATGTGGTGTTGAAGCCAAGTGGGATTTCTGGCTTTCTACTTCCTTTTTTTTTTTTTTCCCCCTTGCTATTGTCTCCAGCTTTCATAAATCTAGCGATGCTCGACTGTTCGGTTGTAATGACGGCATTTTTCACGATTGCCATGGGAATGCTGCTCATTGACTTGTCATCTCTGCAGGAGAACATGGTTTGCTCGGCGAACTACGGCAACGCAAGTACGTGCCCAGAAGTTTTTTTTTCTCAAAGCTATCATGCGGCACGAATGAAGTTTAGGGATGCAGCCAAGGAGGCGAAGGCCGAGTGGAAGCAACACACTGTTCTCCAAGAAGACGGTTTCGAATACTCCGTTGATACCGCATTTGTGCGCGGGAAAAAAGCAAAGAACCTCCTCATTCACATGTCAGGCACGCGCGGAGTGGATGGATTTACAGGGAGTGCCGTGCAGGTGAAACTGCTGCGCGAGTGGAACAGCAGCCGCGGGGATGGTCCGTCGGTGCTTTTTGTGCACGCCGTCAACCCTTATGGCATGGCGCACTTTCGGCCCTACAATGAGAATAATGTCGACCTCAGTCGCAACTATCTTTCCCCCGAGGAGTGGAGTCATGTACTGGAACGCGATAATGCAAATAATTCTGGATATAATGAGATTGTGGCCCCCCTGCTGATGTCAAGGGCTCCACGTTTCATTGACCGGTATGCTTTTTTTTACCACCTCCTCAAGCGGATTGTCACGAAGGGACTTGGTGCGTTCAAACAGACTCTTTCCGGTGGCCAGTATCACCATCCCGATGCTGTGGGCTTTGGTGGTCATGAGGAGCAGCGTGCCATCACCGTCCTCCGTGAGGTTTTCAAAGCACATGTCGAAACGGGCATTGAGAAATCCATTGTGTTGGATGTATGCACCGGCCCTGGATCGGAGGGCTCAGAGACGATTGTTTCCAACTCACGTGAGGAGAGGGTGGTCGCAGAGAAGATCTTCAAGGGAGCGAAAATGCAGAGCAGGAACGACGAAACGGAGCAAATAGGTGAAATTCGACCAAGCGATACTTTTGTAAAAAACAGTCTTATCATCAAACAAAATTTTGGTACTGTAAATTGGCTCTTTTTTGTGCGTGCGCTATTTCTTGAGAATGCAGCCTACAAACACGCGAAGGGGAGTCATGTGCACGCGGTCATGCAGGAGTGGTTGAAGGATGCCTTCTACCCGCAGACAATGGCATACAAACGGGCGGTGCTGAAAAAGGGCGTGGCTGCTTTTGACAGTGCATGGAAGCATTTATCATGAGGTTTGGCTTCTTTTTTCTTTTTTTTTTTCGGCATGGGCAAAGGGATAGGTATAAAGTTAGAGGCCGGAGGCCCCCAGTTGAGCTCGGAGGCGGATGGAAAATAGAACCGGAATAAAATGTAAGTATTGACACTTTGAAATAAACATTTATTATTTTTCAATTTTTAAAAATATTTTTGCACCGCTTTTTTTGTTTGTTTGTTTGTTTGTTTTTCCCCTTGCTTTTATTGGATCTCAGGGTCCTGCACGGGGCACCTTCTTGCGGGGGTTACTTCAGGCACGTGGTTCCGTTTTTCTGCCGATTTTCTTCAGTTAAAGAAAAAAAAAACAAGAGGAATTTAAAAAGAGGAAAAACGAACAACAAAAAAAAAAGATGCCTCGTGATGGGGTGCTGGAGGAGATGCAGGTATACGACGAGTTTGCTCTCTCTGAAATGTTATACGTTGCCTGCTTGGAAACCCTTCTTTCTGCGTATATCGTGCCTCTTAGCAACACGTTGTGCCTGACGACTTCTGAGGGCAATTTATCTTCGTCGCACTGCGAGGACCACAGCGATTTGCTACGGACGTTTGGCGACGATGTTTTACAGCTTTTATCGTGCCACAGGGCAATCATCAATGGCCTGAGGATATTTACCGAGGGCTGTGGGGAAAGCGACTCCAATGGGAACTTTGAAGGGCACGAACGCTCATATTTTGCAAATAGAGCGACACGCGTACTACGACGGGGAGTACCTGCAATGCGTGCTGCGTACCAAAGATACGTGATGAATTTCAACGAGAACGTAAGACGGGCTCTCTTAGCAAAGGCCTCTGTGCCCAAGGACGTGTGGAGGAGTAGCTACGGTGCTCTGGCCCAAGATATACTTACAAATAGTCTTCTTCACTTGGGCGTGGAAAAGAGGAACAGAACCCGCTTTTCAGAGGGATGTAATCTCTCACTTGAGGCCCTCTCTGTTCTCCCGATGCAACACATTGCCCGCTATCCATTATACATGGATGAGTGTATTCAAATACAGCGACACGTCGCTTCTGTGAATAGTAGTAACATCAATGATGATGGCGCAGCACGCATTGCAAAGGCAGAAGAAACTTTAGCAGCACTAATAGATATCTGCAGCACAGTCAATGCAACACGAGCTTCTTTGATAGAATTTCAAAGAATGGTCGAACTGCAGAAGTCTTTAGAACTGACAGAAATTTCCTCAAAGCTTTTGTCTGAGGGAGATGTTGTGGTGTCATTTGAGTTGCAAGAAGAAAAAACGAAATTACGGGGGCGTTGCTCCCATGGAAGACTCATTCTTCTCAGCGACACGCTATTTGTTCAGCTGCATGAAAAGAAGCGAGCACGATGCGAAAAACGTCTGGAGCGGATCCCTCTTAAAAGCATCATGTCTGTGCGTTGTTCCAACCAGGCATCTGAAGGTGCTGTTTATATCACTTACAACCCTGACGTTGAGAGACGTAAGTGGAGGGTTAAAAAACAACGCAAGAAATGTGTTGTTTTATTTTTGCCAAACGAAACAGAAGCTCTCATTTGGGCATCTGATATCACACGGGCGGTTTCGGATTTAACTCCCGAGGAATAAATTGGTTGCTTTTCTTTTACCAACTCCGCTCAGACAGTCCTTTTTTTCTCCCCCCTCCAGTGCTCTTTCTTTTTCTCTATATATCCCTCTGTCTCTGTGTTGATTGGAATATTATTCCTATTGTTTTTTTTTTTCACTTTTTTTTTTCTTTTTTTCTTTTTAAAAGACAAATCAGCGAAGACGTGTCCCCCCTCTTTGCGTAATGCGGGTGAGGACTGCAGTTGCCTTCGCACCCCTTCTTTGGGGGTACGCATCGCGACTCGCCGTGGCTTGTGCTCACACACCGAAGGTGGTGTTCTCTGTTTTTGGTGGCGAGCTGAATTTTATCTTTTGTTGCGGAGTTTTTTTTCTCTGAGCCTCATAACTATACGTTTTTTTTTTTTTTTTGTTTGTTTTTTTTTTTTTACTTTTATTGCCGTCTCTTATTTATAATGTGTTGCCCAGCCCACATGACTCAATTGTCGCCGAAGGATGAGTACACACGTGCGTGCACAAAATTAGGCTGTCATGTCAATTCCCACCTCATGAGAGAACTCCCCGACACGTTGGAGGCGTTGATTGCCGTTAAAAAACTCGACTTTTCGCGTAGCATGTTGGGCCGAAGTGACGTTGAGCCGATTGTGCAGGCCATTCTTTTCCACTGCTCGGGCCTCCAGGTGCTGAATCTCTCGCAGAACTACCTCACCGATGACAGCATTGTACAAATATGTGAGGCTCTCTTGGCACACACGTTACTTCTCGTCTCCCTCGATCTCTCCAACAACCCCATTTCCAACAAAACGGGGCGATATCTTTTACGCTTCATGGAAAGCATGCCCGCACTCCGGTTTGTTGGCGTACAAAAGACACTCATGAATGACAGCATGATGCGCCTGTTCCCGCATTCAAGCAAAGCACTCTGTCCGCCTGTGGCGGAGCACAGGGCCAGCACTCTCTCTACCGCCGTCACCGTGGCAACGTCCAACATTTCCAGCATCATGAAGACCAGCCCGTCAAGTAGTTTGCGAGAAACAACGAAGGACGACAATCCGCATCCGTCTCAGAAAACACAATGGCCAGCACTTGAAACTTTATGGAGGGCCGCGGCAGTAGCTGCCCCTACCCACAACAACTACTCTAGTCTAGGCACCCTCATTTCATCTATGCGTATCCGCGTTCAGGAAGTGAGCGAAGTTCAACAGTTGCCAGTTCCTTCAGGAGACTCAAAAAAACAGAGACAACAGTCGTATTAGACAAGAGCACAAACAAATTCTCAGTGCGTTCAGAAGCAAAAAAAAAAAAAAAAATATGCGGAAAATACCTCAAATTTATTTTATGTCTGTCCTCTACAAAAAAATAAAAAAATAATTAGAAATAATAATTACAGCGGCCGTAAATGAATGCAAAAAAAACAAACGAGAAACACAAAAAACCCACAATTGTCAACCTCCCCTTTATTCCACTTGTCTCTCTTTTCCCACATTTCATGCACGAATGCAGAAAGTGATATTTTTACTTTGAAAGCCATCTACCAACAACAATTAAATTGAACAGAATTTAAAATGCCCATCAAGGTCGGTATCAACGGCTTTGGCCGCATCGGACGCATGGTCTTTCAGGCCTTGTGTGAGGACGGCCTTCTCGGAACGGAGATTGACGTCGTGGCGGTGGTCGACATGAACACGGATGCCGAGTACTTTGCGTACCAGATGCGTTACGACACCGTGCACGGCAAGTTCAAGTACACGGTGACGACGACGAAGAGCAGCCCCTCCGTTGCGAAGGACGACACGCTTGTGGTGAATGGCCACCGTATCCTGTGCGTGAAGGCGCAGCGGAACCCGGCGGATCTCCCATGGGGCAAGCTTGGTGTGGAGTACGTAATTGAATCAACGGGCCTGTTCACTGCCAAGGCGGCGGCGGAGGGCCACCTGCGCGGCGGTGCACGGAAGGTCGTCATCAGCGCTCCCGCCTCTGGTGGCGCCAAGACACTTGTGATGGGCGTGAACCATCACGAGTACAACCCCAGTGAGCACCACGTTGTGTCTAACGCGTCATGCACGACCAATTGCCTTGCGCCCATTGTGCACGTCCTGGTGAAGGAGGGATTCGGCGTGCAGACCGGCCTCATGACGACGATCCACTCGTACACAGCAACACAGAAGACGGTGGACGGTGTGTCGGTGAAGGACTGGCGTGGCGGTCGTGCGGCTGCTGTCAACATCATTCCGAGCACGACTGGTGCGGCGAAGGCGGTGGGCATGGTGATTCCGAGCACCCAGGGCAAGCTGACGGGCATGTCTTTTCGTGTCCCCACCCCGGACGTGTCCGTGGTGGATCTCACCTTCACTGCGGCGCGCGACACCAGCATACAGGAGATCGACGCCGCCCTGAAGCGCGCGTCTAAGACTTACATGAAGGGAATTCTCGGCTACACAGACGAGGAGCTCGTGAGTGCAGACTTCATTAATGACAACCGCAGCTCCATCTACGACTCCAAGGCGACGCTGCAGAACAACCTGCCGAAGGAGCGCCGCTTCTTCAAGATTGTGTCGTGGTACGACAACGAGTGGGGATACTCCCACCGCGTGGTGGACCTTGTACGCCACATGGCCTCGAAGGATCGTTCGGCAAGGTTGTAGGCGTGGCGGTGACTTCAGGTCTTTCTTTTGCGAATAGGGATCTTATAATACACGATGCGTGCCCCGTGATGGTCGTTACCGGTGCTGCCACGATCCAAGTGACACAGCGTCAAGAGCAAAACAATTTTACTTTTCCTTTTAAGGACAACAACAACAAAAAAGCAACTTTTTTTTTTTTGAAATTATATTTATGGTCATGTTTGGGAAATAAAAAGCAGCAATGTAATGATGCGGAAGGAAGAGTGAAATAATGTTTAATCAATGTGCGAGGATTGGGGTATTGCAAGGAAAATGTAGATGATTTAATTGGGTGTATTTGAGGGCACACAGTGTGTTGATGTTTGCTCACTTCCCCTTTTGGCAAATCTTTTTAGCTTTCCTGCTTTTCTTTCCCCATTATTCCACTTGTCTCTCTTTTCCCACATTTCATGCACGAATGCAGAAAGTGATATTTTTACTTTGAAAGCCATCTACCAATAACAATTAAATTGAACAGAATTTAAAATGCCCATCAAGGTCGGTATCAACGGCTTTGGCCGCATCGGACGCATGGTCTTTCAGGCCTTGTGTGAGGACGGCCTTCTCGGAACGGAGATTGACGTCGTGGCGGTGGTCGACATGAACACGGATGCCGAGTACTTTGCGTACCAGATGCGTTACGACACCGTGCACGGCAAGTTCAAGTACACGGTGACGACGACGAAGAGCAGCCCCTCCGTTGCGAAGGACGACACGCTTGTGGTGAATGGCCACCGTATCCTGTGCGTGAAGGCGCAGCGGAACCCGGCGGATCTCCCATGGGGCAAGCTTGGTGTGGAGTACGTAATTGAATCAACGGGCCTGTTCACTGCCAAGGCGGCGGCGGAGGGCCACCTGCGCGGCGGTGCACGGAAGGTCGTCATCAGCGCTCCCGCCTCTGGTGGCGCCAAGACACTTGTGATGGGCGTGAACCATCACGAGTACAACCCCAGTGAGCACCACGTTGTGTCTAACGCGTCATGCACGACCAATTGCCTTGCGCCCATTGTGCACGTCCTGGTGAAGGAGGGATTCGGCGTGCAGACCGGCCTCATGACGACGATCCACTCGTACACAGCAACACAGAAGACGGTGGACGGTGTGTCGGTGAAGGACTGGCGTGGCGGTCGTGCGGCTGCTGTCAACATCATTCCGAGCACGACTGGTGCGGCGAAGGCGGTGGGCATGGTAATTCCGAGCACCCAGGGCAAGCTGACGGGCATGTCTTTTCGTGTCCCCACCCCGGACGTGTCCGTGGTGGATCTCACCTTCACTGCGGCGCGCGACACCAGCATACAGGAGATCGACGCCGCCCTGAAGCGCGCGTCTAAGACTTACATGAAGGGAATTCTCGGCTACACGGACGAGGAGCTTGTGAGTGCAGACTTCATTAATGACAACCGCAGCTCCATCTACGACTCCAAGGCGACACTGCAGAACAACCTGCCGAAGGAGCGCCGCTTCTTCAAGATTGTGTCGTGGTACGACAACGAGTGGGGATACTCCCACCGCGTGGTGGACCTTGTACGCCACATGGCCTCGAAGGATCGTTCGGCAAGGTTGTAGGCGTGGCGGTGACTTCAGGTCTTTCTTTTGCGAATAGGGATCTTATAATACACGATGCGTGCCCCGTGATGGTCGTTACCGGTGCTGCCACGATCCAAGTGACACAGCGTCAAGAGCAAAACAATTTTACTTTTCCTTTTAAGGACAACAACAACAAAAAAGTAACTTTTTTTTTTTTTGAAATTATATTTATGGTCATGTTTGGGAAATAAAAAGCAGCAATGTAATGATGCGGAAGGAAGAGTGAAATAATGTTTAATCAATGTGCGAGGATTGGGGTATTGCAAGGAAAATGTAGATGATTTAATTGGGTTTATGATGCAGCTTGTGGTAATTTTTTACAACTTTGCGTTTTTGGAAGCTTTTGTTTGTTCAGTTTCTTTTTGTTTATAGCTGACTGTTTTACGTTAGTGTGTTTTTTAAGGATTTAAGCTGTTTTTTTTTTTTTTTTTTTCTTTTTTTTTGTTTACTGAAGGTGTTTAAGGTGTAGTTTAGTGTTTGTGCATTATGCGTCGTAGTGTTGTTGTTCTTTGGACTTTTTCGAACAATACTGGGCATTATAGCCCACCTGTGTATATGCCGCTAGAGTATGCTAGCCGTGTGACAAACCAGAAGCAACTAGTGTTTACGCATCCCAAGGATCCCAAGTACGGTTGGAATACTCACGTGGAGGAGCTTGCATCTCTCCATCCTGGTATTTTGGGGCCTGGTCGCCGAACCCCTCAGTTGAATTGGTATAATCGAGGTGGTATTGTTTGCGAAATTCCGCCCGTGCCGGTGTATCGCCGGCACATTTGGTGCCAAGGGCACTCCCACTTTATCCTCCAGCATCCGAAGATTTTTATTAAATGCCCTCCGGGTGTTGTTGTGTGCTGCAAGTGGTGTCGACTGAAGTTTATCAACATGTCTACCGAGGACGACAACGATGATGACTGGCAGAGTGAGGAGCACAAAATTTCGACAACACCGGAATCTGTGAGTGATTTAATGCAGCCCAAACGCGATATTGGAGGGGTTTTGCGTGACAGAACGTTTCAGGATGGTAAAGAGCCTGATCCACATGTCTATCGTTCCGTTTTTGACCCCGAGCGGCACCGATGGAAGCATCCGCATCATAAGTATGAGGTGCATCCAGCATATGCGGACACCAATAAGGACGGCAGTGGTGGTGCTGTGCATTAGGGAAAATGTGTAATAGGGAGCTACGAGATATGCCTGTGCAATCGTAGAGCCTTCGAAGACGGGATAGCGGAAGAACAGCCAAAAAAAAAAAAAAATTTAATGGGGAGGGGGGGGATCACATATTTCGTGGGATTGGGGGCATTTATTGTGCGGTTGTGTTTGTAAATGGGGGAACTGTTGGGGTTTCATTATCACGACGAACAGCTTAGTTGGGATTAGTATACAGCAGAGTCTATCTGGGATTTGCTAGCCTGGGGTTGGCGCTTCAGCGGGAAGAATTTGCATGCCCTGCTGTAGTATTTATGATAGCATCAAGCATTGCTTGAAAAGGCAATTTGCATGAATGTTTAGTTTAGTTTTTTTTTTTTTTGTTTTGTTACCGCGTTGGATGTCAGTGAGTGGAGTTTTTCCCCCTGTCATCCCATCTGTCCCTTCTACGACCCGTCACGCGGAGGGGTCCGGTGATTGTGGGGCTCTAAAGGCTGCCGCCTTTTGGTTTTATCGCGAGCCCGGTTACTATCGCACATGACGTATGGACTCATTGGTGCATTTGTGTACGGGTGCTGGATGAATCTCTTCTTTGACGTGTGGGGATGTTAGTTGCATCCAACCAAACTGTCTTTTGCTTCTTGCTACCCTTTGCTCCCTGTGGGAATAGGGGACCAGGCCTTCTCCGGGTGGTCATATTCCGCTCTTGGTCTTTTGATGCATTCTGCTGCTTTCTCTCCATATTTTGTCTTTCTTTCTTGTTGTTGTTGTTGTTTTTTGGGGAATAAACAAAAAAGCGAACTGTTTTGGCCCTTTATGTTTTTTCGCGTTCTTGTTGCTGCGGTGTTTGTGTGGCTTACCGGCACGGCTGGGGTTGTGGACGCTGCTGTTGATTGCGGCACAGCGGTGGCATGCTACCCATGGGCGAATGGTAATCTGAGGGTTGGAAATCAGAAGCCATGTGTCTCTGGAGGACGGATGAACCTTCGGTTCATGTTGGATGTTGCGGCTGAGACTAGTGCGGCCGAAGGGGCAGCTTCCACTGCTGTATATGGGTTCTGTCCTGTTGTTGACAAACTCGAAGCATTTAAACTGAATTCAGCTCATTCTGTAGCGACCCTCTACTCAGCCGGGAATGTCTACAATTTTTCAAAGAATGTTGGTCGAAAGTACCTCTCTGTATATGGGTTTGGCATGTCAAACAGTACACTTTTTCCAGAGAAAGGCCTCTCAGCAGGGGCTGTTGTGATCGCGGAAAATGGGGATTTTCTGTGTGGTTCCGACCGCTCTGTAGCACTTGTTCATACCTTGATTCTGGACATTGGACTTCACAGGGGTCGATTTAACTACATTGGTGCTAGAGGGGCTTCATCACCAGGGAATATTTCTGGAAATGGTACGACTACGCCTATTGAAGCTTCAACCGAAGCCCCTGTGCAGGAAGGTGAAGTCTCTGTGCAGCCGGCATTGGTTGGGTTTCGGCCCACTTGTACCGCCGATGATGTTTGTGTTTTTGATTCTGCGAGTGTTTGCATTGGAGATCAAATTGGAAACAAAAATTGTGCAAAATGCTACACCTCCCCCAAGGAAGTTGCCAAACAAAACATTGTTGTGTGGGCATCATATGACGGAACCGATGCCAAAGGCCATCCACTACTTAGCGGCGGAATGAACCCCCTGATTTACAAACAGTTTGCGGGGAACACGTTAAAGAATGATTTTGATGTATTAATCAGAAGAATGAAATCGTAAAATTTTAGTTTGTAGTTAGGAGTGTGAATAGGACGGGGCCAAAGTTGGCACCAGTTATTAAGTTGGGCGAAAAGTTGCCCTGAAAAAAGAAGCGGGAGAAAGAAAGAAAATAAAGGGAGAAGCCGAGATCAAATTATATAAAATTCTATCATTCCCTGTATTTCTTATAATGCACTTGTTCCTGCTTTCGTGTGTGTGCATGGACGTGTACCTGGTGGTCACGGTGCCAGATTTTATAAGTTTGCGTCTATTATTTTTTCTAAGCGTTCTTGCCTAATGGAGTAGTAACCTGAGCGCAGTTTTGTCTGTTGGTTGGCATTGCTTCCCCTGCGATAATCACCTTTTTTTTTTTTTTTTTTTTGACGGTTCTTTTGGCCGGCGTCGTTTGTCTCATTGGTGTTTTGGGTACATAGGCCAACGCATGTGCTGCGAATACGGCTTGCCAACCCTGGGTGGTGGATAGGCCGTGCGTCATTGGTGAGCGGATGGATCTCCGCTGTGGTGTGCGGTCCAGTCTTTCCTCGGGGATGATTGCGTATGGTTTTTGTCCAGTTGTGGATGACCTCCAGACGTTTCGTCTCAGTGGCATGGACCCACCGCTCCCGGGTCTTAGGGCGGGAGAGGGTGATCTTTTTTTGCTATACGGCCAGAGATCAGCAGAAAACCGAACATCAGATCTTTCCAACGCGGTGTTTCTCGCTAAAGCATCCGATATATGTAGTGACGGGGAGTGGGCCGTCGTCAGCCTCCTCCTGTTTCGGTTTTCCCCGACGCAGGGTTGGCGCACCTACGCTGAAAAGACGTCATACCCAACAGGTTCAGGGTTTGAGCCGACCTGCGACAGTCACGATAAATGCCTCTACGCCCACCGGGAGTTTATGTATCGGTTCATCCGGTAAGAAGAACTGCGCCAAGTGTTTTGGCGAAGAATTATTGTCGAAGCCGCAGACGACAGTAGGGGTCTCGTATTACGGGTAAGACGCTAACGGTGAGACGGTTGGCAGTGTGGAATCACCGACCCTGCACCGTTTCAGGGATTTAATATCGGAGCCATTGAGGGTGATGGCCAGTGTCTTTGGGGAGGGATTAGCGGCGTGTCGTCCTCAGGCTTCATTTGTGCGGCAATTATTGAGCAGCGCAAATGATGATTAAAAACGTTTATTTTTATTTTTTGATGACGAGACGTCTGTTTTCCATATGCGAAATTAAGGAGAAAGATAAATGTATTGTTATTACTATTTTCACTTTTTTTTCTTGTTCTTTTTTTTTTTTTTTTTTTCCCTTGCCATCCATGATTACTGAGTATGAAACAAGAATGGAATAAATAACGGGACTCATGCTATGTCTCACTTTATTCGGACATCCGTAGCGGCTGTTGGGCTGTGCGGAGCGGGAGCCATATTGTATAGGTGTTGCTGGACACATAGGCCATCCCCTGAACACAAGAAAGAGCTTCTCCGTCTATCCGCTGTGGCGCTTTCCAGTGAGGTGGTGGACACGGTTCTTTTTCGCGATGGGGAAACTTTGAAGCTTCTTCGCCGATTTGTGAAGGATGTGGGCTTACATCCAGACACGGTGGGGACTCTTAAATCATATGTGAAGGAGGAATTTACCACCAACAAGGAAACAGTCGGTGCACTGCGCAAGTTTGTTGTGGAGGATATTATCTGCGACACGTGGGTTAGGGATGAGCTCATCAGCATGTCGAAAGAAACTGGGAAAGAGATTATTCAGGATCCGGCCATATACCCTGGACTTTCTATGCATTTGCTTGCCTCTGCAGCGCAAGAAGGATTACAAACACCTGCCTTTAAGGATGCTTTGCGATGTGCATTGAGATCTGCTTTCTGGGTGGCGTTGGTGGGATTTTCGCCGGAATTCATCTTCAAGGAAATGAAAAATAGAAATCATCAGTGACAGATGGACATTTTGTGTTAATTTTTCCTTTTTTTTTCCCCTTTGCTTTTTTTGAGTATACGTGTTTCTTTCTGCATTCCCATTTCCACTTTTTGATGCCATTTATTCAATTTGTTCTTTCGATTGCTTTCACTAGCAGCCCTTCCGTCCCTTTTGTTGTATAGGATGAGTCGCTTTGACGTGATTCTGTGTTTTGTTCCGCCGGGGTCCGGAAGTAAAGGAAATTCCCTGCCTGAGGAGCACTTTAGACTCACATTGGGGGATCTTGTGGATAGTGTTGATGATGTTCTGAGTCGTGCCACACCCCGTTGTATACTGAACGCCATCGCTAAATGTGTCCACTCCGCTCCTGCATTTTCTCATCAGATGAATATTATTGTTGGTAAGGAGGGCTCCAGAGAAATTCTTTTTGGGCTCCTTTATGATCTTACCCATCACCAAAATGGTGACGATGCTGTGCCTCTGCAATGCATGTTATTTGCTTCCGACGGGGCATCGGTGGTGTGTGAAATTGTTGATGAGGAGGAAATGGGTTCTGTGACTGAGGTGATGAGTGCAATGCGGCATATTGTGTTGGTTGCATTGAAGTTTAGATGCCGAACGATGACTCTCGTTGTGGCTGAGCAGCTCTCCACATCCCTCATTGCCTCCATGCTTGGCTATGCGTGGTGCAACGTGTGGCTCCTATTGGGCGGTGGAATAGATGTGGATCGCTCCGTTGCCGTAGTGCGCGAGGCACTTTCCATTCGCGACGCCGTGCGGAACTTCTGCTATTTTCCTGAAGAAATGATTTCAGGGATAAAGGATGTGGAGGTGATGTTGCGGGCCCGTGCTTTTTTGGACGGGGAGGCACAAGGACTTGCCGCACCTTGGCAGCAGTACACTGAGCGAGATGAAACAGAGACAGGGAATGGACGTCTTGCGGTCGAAAACGCAACGCTGCGAAATGAACGCGCAGAGCTGCAAGCTCTTTTGAGAGAACGGGAAGAGTACTTTGCCGAGCAAATTGAGCTGAAGGAGCATGAGTTAACACAACTAAGACGGGCGTTGCAGCACGCAGAGGCAAATGAGGAGAAGCTGACGGAGGCTGAGGTGAGGATTACAGAGCTCGAGTCCTGTCTTGCTGAAAAGGAAGAGGAACTTTACATGTGGAAGGAAAATATAGACAAGAATCCACTGGAGGCGAGCGAAAAGACACAACAGATGGAAATGTATTTTCATGCCAGACAGGAGGAATTGTGTGATAGAATTGAGTCCCCGAAGAATGAGGATATCATAAATGCTCTTCAGCGGGAGTTGTCGGAGACGCAGGCAAAGTTGCGTGAGATGCAACAACAGTGGGAGGCGTCAAGGGAGGAGAATCTGCAGAATGTCATGGAGTTTCAGGAGAGAGAACGGGAGTGGCAGATGGAGTTAGGGCGAGGGGAAAAGGAGCGGGAGACAGTGGTGGAGGAGTGTCGTCGACTTCGTTCCGTTGTGACCTCTCAGGGTTCCGGGCTGGATGTCGTCAAAGAGGCCATTGAAGCTACGCGTTTGCTCCAAGAACAGGAGCTGGATGAGCTTTTAAAAAAAATTAGGGCCATCTCCTCTGCAAGTGCACCTGCAAGTCATCGGCGTATCTCACCACGTTCCGGGAGACACTCGGACCCGCAGAATTGCCCGCGGATGCTCTCGCCACCCCCATTATGAAGGATTTTTTTCTCCTCATGAATCTATCATTGTTTTTTTTGTTTGTTTGTTTTGTTGTTGTTGTTGTTCTGTCTGTCTGCAGGCGTGTGTGTAGCTTTTTTTGGCTTTGTTTGTGCTTCTGCTGGTTGTGTTATTAGGGCGGTGAAACGGCACTTCGCTGGATACACAGACGCCCAGAGAGGGAGAGGAAGGGCAGATATATAAATTCTTGCTTAGCCGCACTTTCACATCATTCACCACTCGTTGCGAAGGCAGACGATGGCGGTAGCAGCGGATGGTTCTTCGAATAGCGTCGTGCAACTGGTGTGTACGCAGCGGGGCTGGAAAACGTACCGTGTGCGTGGGCAGATGTTTGAAGTGGAGGACAGATATACATTGACTTCGATCGCGGGGTATGGAGCATACGGGGTCGTATGCGCCGCGTTTGACAGTGTGGACTTTCGAGATGTGGCGATCAAACGTGTCAATCATCTCTTTGAAGATCTGGTAGATGGCCGTCGCATCTGGCGGGAAATATGCATACAACGCATTCTTAGAGAAAGTTGTTGTCGCAACATCTTGAATCTTACAAGAATTGCGCCACCCAGGGAAGGTGTAAAGGATTTTCGTGATTTGTACATAGTAACTGACCTTTACGATACCGATCTCCACACGGTTATTTACCGTGTTAAAAATAGATCTGTGGAAGCGTTGCAGCGAATTATGGTACGTGTTCTTCGTTGTTTGGCTGACATGCATACCTTGGGGATCATTCATCGTGATCTTAAACCGAGTAATATTTTATTAGGGGATGAACCGGATAGCGACAATGCAGTAGTGTGTGACTTTGGGCTTGCACGGGCAGGCCTGTCACATTTGAAGGAGCCGTTGGATCTCACGGATTACGTCGTTACCCGTTGGTACCGTCCTCCAGAGCTCTTGCTGATGTGCCGGTATAGTTTTCCTATCGACATGTGGGCCTTTGGGTGTATCATCGCAGAGTATGTGATTGGGCGCCCACTATTTGGGGGTCGTGACTATGTCCATCAGATGCAGCTGGTGCTTTCCAGTATTCCAGTGACAGGCACGGAGTTCATTGAAAACTCCAGCGGAAGCGCCATGAACTTCATGAACGAGATTGCGAAAAAGTACAAGGATACGAGGCCGCTCGTAGGGCTCTTGGAAGGCCTGTCGTCTGATGGAGTGGAGTTGGTAACGAAACTTCTTGCGTTTGAGCCAAAGAAGCGGTTGACGGCGCAGCAGGCTCTGCAGCACCCTTTTTTTGCCCGTGTTGGGGGCCGGGGAAAGTCGGAGTGCACCCGTCCTACAAAAGCCGACTTCTCCTTTGACTTGCATGCAGAGATATCGGAGGCACAGCTGCGACGAGCCATATGGGAGGAGATGACCCAATACCAAAAGAAGGGAGTAAAGGGGGAAAAGGAGAAGAGACAGTCAAAAGAAGAATAAAAGCAGACACGCACACGCACACGCACACACATAAAGACAAGAAGAAAAAATAGGGAGTGGGGGCCAAAAGAGAAAATAAAGCACAAAAAGAGACAACAAAGAAGGGCTGGGAAGGGGCAGTAACACCGATGGAAAAAGTTGAATGCGACCATTCACAATTAATAGGATTTTGTTTGGTTCTATTTGATTGTGAAGGGAGTAAATTTCTTCGCTTTCATCCCCGGCCCATTTGTTGACTGGTTGTGACGTAGCAGGCCACGCTAAAGAATTTGTTGTGGCCTACGGTGACTGTGCTCACTCTTTCTTGCTTTCTTTTACCTACGTTTAATTTCTTTCTTTTTCTCAACCATAGACGGGGGAGCTGTGGACTAAACGACGATGGGGAAACGAAGCACAAATGGGGAAGGTGTGATGCCGCCTTTACCTTTTGTTTTTGCTGTTGCTTGTGTGCATTGTTTTATCCACCTTTTCGTCTTTTTGTTGTTGTTGTTGTTGTTTGCTCAGTCAAATCTCCTGGTGATTTACCTACCGTGTCGCATGATGAATGACGTATGGGACACCGCCATTTGTGGCCGCACGCAGAAACTGTTCCCCCTGCTCTATTATTGCTGTTGTATGTTTCTTTCAAAAGTATTGACTAAACAAATAAAAGAACCGGATTCAATAAAAGGGCAGAGGAAAGAAATTCAATTAATTTTGACGACACGCGCATACATTGAAGAAGAAGAAGAAAATAAATAAGTAAATAAAAGAGGTCAAATAATAATAATTAGGGTCATCGTACTAATTCGTCTACCGCAGCCATTTTCTTTGCCAAAAATGCTCTATGGGATCATTCTGCTGGCATTGTTGGAGTGGAAATTGGGTTTCTTGCGCTTTTTACTGAAGGTAATAACCCACACAGTGGAACGCTACTCGGCGCCAACCATCACGGTCCCTTTGCCACGGACAAAGTTTGACGCAGCACCAAGCACTGTCCCTCTCACACCCCGATCCGGCCCCCCAGGTACCATACAGTGCTATGACAAGGGAACGAACACACCGATTGGTCTTGTAAACGTTACTAGTCCAGATGAGTTGCGTGCAGTGGTTTCTCGAGCTCGAGTAGCCCAAAAGGCATGGTCGAAGACGTCTTTTTCAACGAGACGGAAACTCCTTTTTAGTTTGCTGGATTACATCTTGGAGCATGAGGATTTTATTTGTGAAACTGCCTGCGTAGAATGTGGCAAAACGATGATGGATGGCTTTTTGGGGGAAATGCTCACCACTCTCGAGAAGCTTCGCTGGACAGCTGCTCGTGGGGAAGAGATCTTGGCTGAAGAAGTACGAGACGTGGGTCTCGTGGCTATTCACAAGCGCCCCGTTGTGAATTACGTTCCGTTTGGCGTTATTGGAGCCATTGTGTCGTGGAACTATCCCTTCCACAACATTTATGGGCCAATGATATCTGCACTTTTTGCGGGCAACGCATTTGTAGGGAAGGTGTCTGAATATTCTTCGTACTACGTGTCATATTATCAGTCCATTGTAAGAGAAGGCTTGAAGCAATTGGGTCAGTCTCCAGATATTGTAGCGTTTGTCACGGGGTTTGCAGAGACGGGTGAGGCGCTTGTGAATTTGGTAGATAAGCTGACGTTTATTGGCTCCCCTGCCGTTGGGAAGCTTGTTATGCGTAACGCCGCTGCGACACTTACCCCCGTCTTGCTGGAACTTGGTGGCAAGGACCCCGCCGTGATATGTGACGACGCAGATTTGGAGCAGGTGGTTCCCATCATTATGCGTGGCACTTTCCAAAACTGCGGCCAAAATTGTGTTGGTCTGGAGCGTGTCATTGTGCACGAGTCATT